TGGGGCGCAGAGTCGCTGGGGCGCAGAGTCGCTGGGGCGCAGAGTCGCTGGGGCGCAGAGTCGCTGGGGCGCAGAGTCGCTGGGGCGCAGAGTCGCTGGGGCGCAGAGTCGCTGGGGCGCAGAGTCGCTGGGGCGCAGAGTCGCTGGGGCGCAGAGTCGCTGGGGCGCAGAGTCGCTGGGGCGCAGAGTCGCTGGGGCGCAGAGTCGCTGGGGCGCAGAGTCGCTGGGGCGCAGAGTCGCTGGGGCGCAGAGTCGCTGGGGCGCAGAGTCGCTGGGGCGCAGAGTCGCTGGGGCGCAGAGTCGCTGGGGCGCAGAGTCGCTGGGGCGCAGAGTCGCTGGGGCGCAGAGTCGCTGGGGCGCAGAGTCGCTGGGGCGCAGAGTCGCTGGGGCGCAGAGTCGCTGGGGCGCAGAGTCGCTGGGGCGCAGAGTCGCTGAGCGGCGCAGAGTCGCTGGGGCGCAGAGTCGCTGGGGCGCAGAGTCGCTGGGGCGCAGAGTCGCTGGGGCGCAGAGTCGCTGGGGCGCAGAGTCGCTGGGGCGCAGAGTCGCTGGGGCGCAGAGTCGCTGGGGCGCAGAGTCGCTGGGGCGCAGAGTCGCTGGGGCGCAGAGTGCTGGGGCGCAGAGTCGCTGGGGCGCCAGAGTCGCTGGGGCGCAGAGTCGCTGGGGCGCAGAGTCGCGGGGCGCAGAGTCGCTGGGGCGCAGAGTCCGCTGGGGCGCAGAGTCGCTGGGGCGCAGAGTCGCTGGGGCGCAGAGTCGCTGGGGCGCAGAGTCGCTGGGGCGCAGAGTCGCTGGGGCGCAGCAGAGTCGCTGGGGCGCAGAGTCGCTGGGGCGCAGAGTCGCTGGGGCGCAGAGTCGCTGGGGCGCAGAGTCGCTGGGGCGCAGAGTCGCTGGGGCGCAGAGTCGCTGGGGCGCAGAGTCGCTGGGGCGCAGAGTCGCTGGGGCGCAGAGTCGCTGGGGCGCAGAGTCGCTGGGGCGCAGAGTCGCTGGGGCGCAGAGTCGCTGGGGCGCAGAGTCGCTGGGGCGCAGAGTCGCTGGGGCGCAGAGTCGCTGGGGCGCAGAGTCGCTGGGGCGCAGAGTCGCTGGGGCGCAGAGTCGCTGGGGCGCAGAGTCGCTGGGGCGCAGAGTCGCTGGGGCGCAGAGTCGCTGGGGCGCAGAGTCGCTGGGGCGCAGAGTCGCTGGGGCGCAGAGTCGCTGGGGCGCAGAGTCGCTGGGGCGCAGAGTCGCTGGGGCGCAGAGTCGCTGGGGCGCAGAGTCGCTGGGGCGCAGAGTCGCTGGGGCGCAGAGTCGCTGGGGCGCAGAGTCGCTGGGGCGCAGAGTCGCTGGGGCGCAGAGTCGCGCCATTTATTTCAAGAAAATCCTTTTAATTTATTTTTTATTTTTTTTATTTTTTTTTGGTTTTTTTTTGCTGTTACTAGACAGATGAAAATGTGAGAGCAATTTAGCCGGTAATTTCATTCCCTTTCTTCTTTCATGTATTTATATATTTTTATTTCTCTTATATTAACGGGTTCTAAACTAGTTTTCCTCACGGAATGAGTAGCAGAAATATGACCCTTACGCACCTCTTGTAGTTAATTCATGAAATTTATTCTAACTACAAAACTCTGTGTCAGGTGATTTCTTTTATCAATAAGGAGCAATGGAACTTATTATTGATAATTGAACCCCAGCAGGCTGCTTTTTCTTTTTGTTTTCTACTTTTGCTGTGAAATAGCTCTAGAGACTCTATGACTAGTTACATTGGTGGTGCCTTCTCCGTGCAGTAGAGCCTGGTGGTACGGCTTGTGAAGTTGCTTGGAAGTGCCGCGAGTTCAGGAGCTGGCAGCTAAGTGTTCCTGGGTTCTAGAGTTGTTTCATGTTGGGGAGTGGCCCCGTTCCCTAAAATCACAGCTCCTGGGCCCAAATCTGAGTTTCTTTTCTGTTACATGAACAGCCGGAGAGGGTCAGCCTCCTTTGTCTTTTGAGTCCGTTGCCTCCTACTCTTAACAGTTTTAGTGTTCGGTAGCGTACCTCAGGCTCTCCTATTTTGAGAGGGGTTGTGCTCCTCTTACGTAACATGGGAATCCCTTTTTTCTGTCTCAAGCGTGAATGGTGTAAGGCACTTAGAAATCATTGCAGATGAAAGGGAAGTGAAGTTATCTTATTTAGAAGAAAAGCTATCCAGAAGAAACTTCAGTTGCTTGGGCCTGAATTCTCACTGAAACCAAAAGCAGGTATCTTACCGTAGAGAGCGATAAGGCCGCCCCTGAGCCTCCTTTTCTCCAGGCCGAACAATCCCAGCTCCCTCAGCCGCTCCTCATAAGACTTGTTCTCCAGATCCCTCACCAGCTTTGTTGCCCTTCCCTGGACTCACTGGAGCCCCTCAATATCCTTCTTGTAGTGAGAGGCCCAGAACTGAACATAGTACTTGGGCTGCGGCCTCACCAGAGCCAAGTACAGGGGGACAATCACCTTCCTTAGTCCTGCTGGCCATGCCATTTCTTGTAGGAGTCAGGATGCTGTTGGCCTTCTTGGCCACCTGAGCACACTGCTGGCTCATACTGAGTCGACTAGCCACCAGTACTCCCAGGTCCTTCTCTGCCAGGCAGCTTTCTAACCACTCAGATGGCTTTTCCAACCAGCTTCAAACTTCCAGATCTAGAGGAACGCTTTGACTGCGGCCTAAAAGCCACGTGTATGTAAGCTGCCGCAAGCCAGCCAATCTTCTTCCCATGACCTGCCAGGAAACAGCAATGTAGGCAGGTAACCAAATTAAAGCCAAAACTTGCCAGCCCAGTCCTTGACCTGAATAGTGAGTGAGGATCCGGATCCTGGCATTTATGCGCGATAGCTTCTACGCAGTCGAAGTAAATACACCCTGGGTGCCCTGAGCTGGAGGACCACGACGGTGGGCACGATAAACTCCCAACCGACCCTGAACGTGTGCGGGATTTGCTGCTCCACCTGGATCTATACAAGTCCGTGGGTCCGGATGGGATTCATCCCAGGGTGCTTAAGGAGCTGGCTGACGCCATCGCGGGACCTCTCTCAATTATTTTTCAATGACCTTATGAATCTGGAGAGGTCCCAGTAGACTGGAAGCTGGCAAATGTCGTACCAATTTTCAAGAAGGGCAAGAAAATAGACCGTGGCAACTACAGGCCTGTTAGTCTCACATCAGCGCCTGGTAAAATTCTGGAGAAGATGATCCTTGAAGGTATTGAAGCGCAGCTGGGGGACAATGCAGTCATTGGTCCCAGCCCACATGGGTTCATGAGGGGTAGGTCCTGCCTAACAAATCTGAATTCCTTTTATGATAAGATCAGCCATCTGGTTGATCAAGGGAAACCGGCTGACGTGATCTTTTTGGACTTGAGCAAAGCTTTCGACATGGTTTCCCGTGGGATCCTACTGGACAAAATGTCCAGCATACAACCTAACAAAGACATCATGCGATGGGTGAGCAATTGGCTGACAGGCAGGGCTCAAGGGTTTGTGGTAAATGGGGCCACATCAGGCTGGCGCATGGTTACTAGTGGGGTCCCTCAAGGCTCCATTTTAGGGCCGGTCCTCTTCAATGTTTTTATAAACGATTTAGATGTAGGACTAGAAGGTGTTTTGAGCAAATTTGCTGATGCACCAAACTTGGAGGAGTTGTAGACTCAGATGAGGGTGGAAAGGCCTTGCAGAGAGATCTGGGCAGATTGGAGAGCTGGGCGATCACCAACCGCATGAAGATTAACAAGAGCAAGTGCCAGGTCCTGCACCTGAAATGGGGCAACCCTGGCTATACGTACCGACTGGGTGACGAGATGCTGGAGAACAGCCCCACAGACAGGAATCCGGGGGTGGTGGTTGACAGCAAGTTGAACATGAGCCAGCAGTGTGCCCTGGCAGCCAGGAGGGCCAACCATATCCTGGGGTGCATCAAGCACGGCATTGCTGGTCGATCAAGGGAAGTGATTGTCCCGCTCTACTCTGCGCTGGTGCGGACTCACTTTGAGTACTGCATGAAGTTCTGGGCACCACAGTACAAGAAGGACATTAAACTGCTGGAGAGTGTCAAGAGGAGGGCGACAAAGATGGTGAAGGGCCTAGAGGGGAAGCCGTATGAGGAGCGGCTGAGGTCACTGGGCCTCTTCAGCCTGGGGAAGGGGAGGCTGAGGGGGGACCTCATTGCAGCGTACAACTTCCTCGTGTGGGGGAGTGCAGAGGCAGGTGCTGACCTATTCTCCATAATCACCAGTGATAGGACCCATGAGAATGGTGTTAAGCTGAGGCAGGGAAGGTTTAGTCTGGACGTCAGCAAGAGGTTCTTCACCGAGAGGAGGGTGGTCGCACACTGGAACAGGCTCCCCAGGGAACTAGTCACTGCACCAAGCCTGTCTGAATTTAAGAAGCGATTGGACTGTGCACTTAGTCATGTGGTCTAAACTTTTGGGTAGACCTGTGCGGTGCCAGGAGTTGGACTTGATGATCCTTAATGGGTCCCTTCCAGCTCAGGGTATTCTATGATTCTATAAATAGTGTAGTCAGAGGTCATGGGGCTAGATTTAGAAAAGTCCTGCATAAAGAAGGGATCTCAGAGAAGAAAATGTAAATAACATTAATATCAAGAAAAGGAATTCTGATTGCTAAATTCTTTATCTGTCATGACTAGACAGATGAAAATCTATGATGGCAAGTTTGCCTTTAAGGTCATTTTTTTTTTATTCATTTCTTTTATTTATTTGTATTTATATTTTTAACAGGCTCTGTACTAATTTTGCTCACAGAATGACTAACAGAAATATGACCCTTGTGCACCTTTTGTAGTTAATTCATTAGGTCAACTGTAACCACTAAGCCCCTTGTCAGGTTATTTCTACTAGTGATAAGGAGCAATAGACCTTAAAACTTTGAAGCCAGGTAGACGAGCTTATTCCACAAGGTCTCTTGGCTCCACCCTTGTTAAGTGAAAGGTCAAATGACCCACACCTGCCAGGTGTGGGTCATTTGACCTTTGCTATATAGGAAGCCTGAGACTGAGGCTTGGGTAGCCTAGGGTGTTTTTCTCTTGTGGTGAATTGGGCTCAGTGTTCCCTACTAGGCTGCTTTTCCTTCATGTTTTCTGCCCTCGCTGTGAAATAGTTTTAGAGACTCTATGAGCTAGTTACATTGGTGGTGCCTTCTTTGGAAAAACCCTGGTGGCACTATTTCACTGCGAAGCACTTTGGAATTGACTCAAGTTCAGAAGACAGCAGGTAAGTGTTCCTGGGTTCTGTGGTTGTTACTGTTGAGGAGTTTGAGTACTTCCTTCACCTTGTCTGTTTTCTGTGAAATTACTTAGGTGGATTCTAAGCTCCCTTCCAAGCACTGGAGGAAAAAAAAAAAAGGCCTCAGAAGCCCAAGTGCACACAGGTCAGCCTGACGTTGAAGAAGGTTCTTAAGTATTTGGAAGATTGAAAAATGGGCTGTGTGAAAAAGGTGCCTTAATGTGAATGCAGATTTTGCCTTGTGGTAAGTAGAAACAGGTTGGGATGGATACTGGTGGAAAGATTGCTACTTTGACTAAGTGGAAATCATGAGAATGTGCTGTTGTTCATCAAAGAAATGCTGTTTTCACAATATGCAGGTCAAAAGCAATATGAAGAAAGTCTGTCATCTTCCCTTCAGGTCTGGGTCTCAGCTGGGGACTGCTTCCTGAATAGGTCCAGCAACCTGAAGAGAATTGAACTTCCTCCCAAGCTCTATAAACCAGAGTCTCAGCTATCAGGGGTAAGCATCTTTCTGTGCAAGAAAGATGACATCAGAATTGAGGCGCAGAACTGAATTGAGGCGCAGGTCATCTGTAAACTAGTAATGAGTTGACAGTCTTTGCCCATAGGTTTTATCCTATGAAGGTACATTACAGGGGAAAAAAAAATCCTTAAGGATTTAACACATAAAATATTAGTATACAACACTTAGAGCTACAATGCTCCATGTTGTGGAGAGAATTCTGTGTGCTAGTAATGAAAATAAATTTCCAATGACACCCACTTAGGTAAAATCAGAAGTGTTCAGAAAGATATAAAACAAAGCCTGGAGTTCAGAAGAGGTGAAGAAGAAAATATAGACCAGAGTGACACACTGCCACAACACCAAACTAGCAGAAGCTGGTGCCTTGGAAAGGTAATACAATATTTCAGAACTGAATCAATATTTAAAGAAATATTTATAATGTTTTTAAGTACAGGCATGCTTTTAAGTTACACAATTGCCTAACAGCTTTGGCAATGCACCAGCTAAATGGTCAGATCTTGGTAAATATTTGCATTATAGGTTACAGCAGAGCTGCTCATTCTCTGTGTGAACTTGCACATATGTACTTTCATATGAACACAATGTGTTTCCCATTATAAACTGTGCTAATAAAGTGGAAAATGTAAGCATTAGACAAATAGTGGGAGAACTCCAAGTTTATCCTCAAAAAGTGTTTTGACTCTAATAGGAATCTATAAGGAGATTTTATTCATATCAGGGGTTCATTTGTGCTACATACAACTATAAATAGGAGGGAATTAATGTTTTAAATATTTGTGTTATGAAATGTATGGTCAACAGGCATGAGGATCACAGATGAGGTCACAGATGTCATTTTAATATTGCAGAACTTCTAGTGAAGGAAAGGAAAAAAAAAAAAAATGGCAGTCCCTTTCAAAGCTAGGACTGCCTGGATGTAGTCCATATGATGACATTTCTGCCAAGGAACAGGAATTCCAGTGTTAAAATCTGAAATGAGTAACCAACCAAAGTACTTGCCAGGAACAATAAGTAAAGAGGAACTGACAAAAGAGAGCTGATCAGTGTTATGCATCACCAACTTTCAAAGCCAGTTAGTAGCTTCTTAATCACAGCCTCATCAGAGAGGTATTATCTATACATCCAAAAAATATATATATATTTTAAATTACTTGTAGAACTAATTTTTAGACTACTGAGTAAAGAGGTAGAAAGCCACTTACATAAGCATTAATACATTTAAAAAAAAATCTTATAGTAATGTGTTAGTATTCAAATCCTTTTAGTAAAAGGATTTGAATATTTTCAGTTATTTCTTGTATAAAGTTCCTCTTATTGTAAAAATCATATTTACAAAGTGTTGGAAAAACTTATTTTAATTTTCCATTATTGCCCTACTGTGCAGTAGAGAAATCTAGAAATTGATTTTCTAGAAACTAGCTTTGGCCTAGCAGAGGTATTACAACATGCTGAAAATTGAAGGGTCTGTCTATTGTATGATTCATAAATACCACTACAGATGCCACTGTATAAAGTGGTATATAAAGTATTATATACCACAGAAACACAATGATTTGGTACATACCTGAATTTTATATTCAACATAGGAATACTTGAAATTAAAAATCAGTGTAGTGAAGTTAAAAAAAAAAAAAAAAAAAAAAATATTTTGGTGTTATATATTTTAAGCTAACATAAGGAGAAGCACTTCTAGTGACATATTTCATCCAGCTCTGTTGTACTTTTTGAAATACAGCAAAGCACTATTCAGAGACCAAAAGAAGTGCTGTTTCTGTCACATCCGGGAGATGGATGCCTGAAGTAGTGTGCCCATGAAGGGCAGAGACAGGCAGAAGATGACCACAGTTATCCAGAAAGCTCATGTAAAAGCAATTGTACCTCCTTTTTAAAGGATGTATTGACATCTTTTAGCAATACGAACTGTGAGGAAAGAAACAGAAAAGCAGTCATTTTCTTCAATACTGAACAAAGGAGATGCCATAGTACAAAAAACAGTGCTACAATTCATTTCAAACACTTGTAGTATCTGTGTATTATTCACTGTCTATAGGGCATGCCAGCTTTCATTAAAAACAAACAAATAATAAATTCTAGCTTCTGCAGCTGCCAAGATAAGCTAGAACATGTGACCTCAGTGAGGCTGAGAGATTCATTACCTCACAGTTAGTGAGGTAATTAAAATTCCATCCACTTCTACAAACTGTTTGCTTGTTTTTGTCTGATGATTTTATGCCTTTTAATGATCTTTATGACACCTTAGTCATGACTTCTGAATGTTCAAGATGAGCAGCACCAAAGCAATTCTTTTCCTATGCTACATCACTTCTCTGCACCACTGTTCAACACCTGCTGAGAATCTTCCCCAGCTTCAAGAGTAATTTTTGGCAAAAATAAAAAACAACAATGCCATCTCTTTGTGAGAGAATGTAGTGAGGCATGAATTACATTTGTCCCTGCTGTGGTCTTTGCAATATGAATTTGGGATAGGATGAGCAATGAGGTTATACTCTTTTCCTGATGTGTACTCTGACTGAAATTTTATAGTTTTATACCAGCATGTATAGTGGGCCTGTCAGGACAGAGGCACATACGTCACTTTTGTGGTCCTAGATCATATTCCTTCAGTTTAATAGATTTAACAACTTTCTGGTTCGAAGCAGGTGCTGTTAGTGCCAGGTAGTGCTAGAAGCCTAGCAGACAGTCAGGATTCACATTGATTCTTTCTGTGATTTTTTTTTTTATAATTTATTTTAATAATGATAACTGTATTTGTAAGTTCTGATATTGGCAGCAGCTTAAGGTGTTCCTAAGAATGCTTCTACACTCTCTCCATTGGCAGGATAAGCTGTTAATACTGACTTTCATGTTTAACATATTTGGAGTTAATTGGATTGCTTCTCCATCTTCCAGTTGCAATCAGTGATTGCCTGATGACTCTGTGTAGTTATAGTTCATTCATACAGCCCATCACTCATATCACTGATTGCAGAAGAGTCAGTTTCCAGAACACAAATGATTTCTGTGTTGTTTTAATAATAGATAGTTGGAAAAGATATCTTTTGTGCTGTAGTGCAATATTATGAGCTGAAATTTCTCAGGGAAATTTATGTTGTCTGAAATTATGAAATCAATGGGATACATTTTTGAGATGCTTTGTTAATTTGTCCTAAGAGATCCTTCTTCTATTTTCTCAAGCTGATGAGATGCATTGATTAAGACATGATGAAAAGACCAGCTAACAATCACAGATCTTCAGGAAGACATAAATGTGGAATATTGCTCATGGAAATTGAGTATTGAGAAATAGTCAAACTTTTGAAAAGTTAGATAAAATTACTTCATTAGTTTTGAAGGGCACAAACATGTGAAATAGTCCAAGTCTTATTTGCAAGAGGAAATACTTCAGCCATTTTCACATATAGGGTTTGAAGCACTATTCTGGTTAGCTTAGATAATGATTAACAGTTCCACCTCTAAATTTGGAAAAGACTGTTGTCCTAACTATCATATTAGTATATGATATCTAATGCCTCTTTCCTGGAAATATCCAGCCCCTGTTTCAGGGTAGAAATCAAAACAAAAGGTATGCAGAAAAGGATTAAGCAATAACCACAAATCTGAATAGAGTTCTTTGTACATAAAAGGTTTCACTAAAATTTACATTCTAAGTGAAGGGAGTTAGGCAGTTAAAAGGCACAAAGACATGCCTCTGTAGAAAATAGCTTATCTTACTGACCCAAATTTCTTATCTTTCCTGAACTTCTAAATTCCTCAAGATTTTTTTATGCTATTTTTTATAATCTGTATTTTACAGTTATTTAACTGTGTTCCAAGTATCTGCACATACTTGAATCAGAAGTGTCTTCTGATGTCATGCATTTCCTAAGCATAGGTGAGGACTATTATTTAGCATGTGTATAAATACAAGAAAGAAGACATCTGTGCTTCAAGACTTTATTTTTTCTTTCCTTTCAAACTAGGAGCTATTTTTGGTGTAATTAAATCTCAGACGTTATACCTCACAAAGTTCTAGTATATTTGACAAGTTCTGCAAAAGAAATTACATTAACTCTATACTTAAATGCATTTCTTCATTATTTGCAACATGCTAATATTCTATCTCAACTTTCTCTGAAAGTATGTAAATAAATAATTCATAGACACTTTTACTTAAAGGTCAATCCTTTGAAAATAGTCCAAAAATAATAGAAATGCAACTTGGGTGAAACCAAGGTCTTGAATCATTTCTGGCCACATGAATGATTTACTGACTGAGAACACCTTTCTCTTCAAAGGTTTTGGTAAAAATAACTATTTCAAGGTAGAGATATCACACACAAAAAAAAAAAAAAAGGCACATATGTGTAGGGCTGCTAAGATGACAGGGAACGAAGCAACTATTATATAAGGAAAGACAGGGAACTGGGATCTTTTAGATTTGAGAGAGACATCTTGGGTGGTGGGGGTGCTCATCAATGCATATAAATATCTGATAGGGCTCAGTAAAAATGATGCAGTCAGGTTCTGCTCGGTGGTATAGAGAGAAAGGACAAAAGGCAGTTGGCACTGACCGAAATACAGGAAATTCCACTTAAACAACAACAACAATACTGAGGGTGGTCAATCTGGCACAGGTTGCCCAGAGAGCTGGTGGAGCTTCCATTCTTCGAGATAAGTAAAACCTGTCTTGGTCAACCTGTTCTAGCTGACCTCGCTTTAGCAGGGGAATTCAGCTGCATAATCTCCACAGTCCTTTCCAACCTCAACTATTCTGTGACTGCAGAAACTTTTGGAACTATATGACTATAACACCTTAGTTAAAACACAGTTTTATTAGAGATTAATTATGCTGTCTAGACCTAAAGATTGAAGAAATATAGTCATATCTGTCATGTAGCAATCACTGAAGCATTCTGGAAATTGCTGTGCTGGTACCAGCTGGACAGAAAGACTTGGCTAGTAGATATCAAATCCCTGATTTAGCTAAATGAGCTTGTTCACATTTCTTAAGACACTGTTTAAGTGTCTTCAGAGATAATGTCTTAACATTCTTAATTCCAAGTCTAATACTTCCCTGAAGTGTTCAAGGCAAGGTTGGATTGGGCTTTGTACATCCTCACAAAGGGAGGTGTCCCTGCTCACAGCAGGGGGCTTGAAACTAGAAGGTCCCTTTCAACCCCAAAAAAGTCTATGATTCTATGAATCTAATTTCACACTATAAGATGTGAAATCAAAAAGCACCACCCAGAAGTCAAACGCACAGCTTTTATCTGGATGTTATACTCTGCTTCACTACTAAGCTGACAGTAGCAGCAGTCATGTGAAGCAGCCTGTCATTTTTCAGACTGGGACCAGTCAAGCAGGCCGAGTCTGTGGTGCTGTCAAAGCATTTGATATTCCCCCACTAGAGTGCACAAGAGTTTCAAAAGTGGAAATTAGGAGTCTAAGCACTTTAAATGTGTTGAAATTTTACCTCATTACTTCTAGGAGGAAATCTAGTTTTAATTAAAGTCACCAAGTAATGAAGAACATAACTGTGCCAGTGATTAATTGACTTCACTCTTTAACTGATATGCCCGATTCTGAAAATAAATTGTAACAAATTGTAAATTATTTAATATAAAGGTGACTGCAATGTTAAGAAGAAGATAGAAGGAAAATGAAATTTCACATAAAAAGACTGTAATACAGCAGTCAGTGTCAGCACATTCGGAATAATTTGATTATCTGTCATTTCTAACTGATAAGATCCCAATTCTTCTGCCAATGTCAGTGAAAATAGTACGATAGTTCCCAGAAGTAACTTTCTATTCAGCTCTGTTTTCAATATAAACTGATTTATCCCACTGTCTTGTGTGCCTTACACTGTTTCCATGGATTTCTGCTTTAATAAACCCAGACATCAGTCCATTCTCCATCTAACTCTGTGGAATTACTTATTATTTCCTTTAAAAGTTTCTGAATTTCCACTATTGAGAGTGGGTTTTAGTCTTAGATGTGCTTTATACTTATCCTATCCTTGCCCACCTCCCCCACCCCCCTTTTTTTTTTTTTTTGCATTTATAAAACTAGCAGAGCTTGTTCTATTCTTGAATAAAATAAAAACCACTGAAATGTGAATCTCAGCAAGATACTTTGCATTCATGCTTTATTTTTATCCTTCCAAATTTAAAAGCATTAATTTAATTCCTGAAGACCCCTCTTTTACCTTGCCATTCCTTTTCCACTGGCTCACCCCAAAAATCCTGTTTGGTTTCCCCAAGAAAATGTACACAGAGTTTAAACATCCTCCCATTTTCACATGCATGTATTCTCATACTTCAGAGTTCTTTCCCTTATTTCTAAAGAAAGCTTTACAATGTGACTCATTAAAATTGAATACACAACTCCTGTACTTAAAAACTAATTAAGTAGCACAGAATATCTAATTCCACTGAGGGTCCCAGGTTCCTTAGGTGTATCTGGGCATATCTTCCTTAAAGCAATTTCTGGAAGGAAGAAAGGAAGTTAATGAGCTATTCTCCCAAAGGATTTTCTCCTGTTTTCTCTCTGAATACTGCTTGGACCATTAAAATTCATAGAAACTCATACAAATCTAATGTACCACTACACTTATTTATTTCAGTGTACTAAAAGCTCATACTGCTACGATAGCAGTGAAATGAAAAAGTCTAAGTGAATACAAAGTTAGCCTCACCAATTTTTTCTCATTTTCTAGTAGAAGCACATATATCAATTGTCCTACATGGCTAATGTTTTTATTCAATGCTGGCTTAACTAAATGTCTGGTTATTTAAAAAAAAAAAAAAAAAAAAAAAAAAAAAAGATAACAATAAAAAAATGAATACTCGATGTTAAATTTACAAAAAATGTTTGAGCTTAATTTTGATACCATTATAGGAAGAAAAAAGTTGACAAATATTTCTTGCAAAATGGCCCTACTAAATGAAAATTTCATGAGTTTTAATTGACTGTAATTGGAGCCTTGTGGAATACATAGTATTCAAGAGGTCAGTGACATTGAGCAAGCCATGTCTGCTCTCTTCTCTGCCTTGTATTTAGGGCTTGAGAAGCCCATTAGCATGCTCATGCATTAGCATGAGCAGCACTATACAGGAAACCCATGCTGGAATTCCCCATGCTGGCCTGTGCTGTGCAATGGTGAGCATTATGACAGGGGTAACTATCAGGCTAGAAATG